TTGTGTGTGTTGTGTGTGTTGTGTGTGTTGTGTGTGTGTTGTGTGTGTTGTGTGTGTTGTGTGTGTTGTGTGTGTTGTGTGTGTTGTGTGTGTGTGTTGTGTGTGTTGTGTGTGTTGTGTGTGTTGTGTGTGCTGTGTGTGTGTGTGTGTGTGTGATTTTGGCCTTCTCGCCCGCTCCCTTCCGAAGGCCTTCTGGTACTAACCAGAAGGCCCAAACGGGCCCCAAGACGGCCCCAAGAGCGCCCACGAGCGCTCCAAGAGCGGCCCAAGCAGCTTCCAAGAGATGGTTCTAGGGGCTCTCGAGGGCCAGTGCTAATTGAGGCCCACGTCTTCTTTTCTCGATGTCCTCCAAGGTGGTTCCACGAAGGCTCCAAGGCTGCCAAGAGGGCCCCCCAAAGGCCCCAATATACTCCTAAGACTTCAGAGGCCCCCTAGAAGCCCCCACATCGCCCGCAGACACCCCAAACAAAACCCTTGAGACCCGCAACACGTCCCAAGAGGCCACCAAGAGGCCCCCAAGCGACATTCCAAGCCGCTCCGAGAAACATCCAACCTGTATCTAATTCTCTGAGGCTCCCCGAAGTATCCAAATGATGCAACGCTCTCCCGACACGGGCAACTCCCTATAGGCATCGTAATGTTCTTGGGGGCCTCTCAAAGGCTCTCTACGGGCCCCCTGGGCCTGTATTTGGAACTGTTTTGGCCATTTCAAGCCGTGCTGGAAGCGTTCTAGCTATCCGTGGGCCCTCTGAGGGGCCTCTCGTCGACGCTCCGGGGAAAGGCCTGACGCCTCAGGGGAAATTTACCCACATTGGGGGTTCCAGGCAATGGTTTTCGGGAGCCATTTCCTCTCCTGGGTCGATGCATGTATGTCGAATCCAGAATCCGCCGGCCCCCTTGTGGGGCCACCAGGCTGTAGGAGCGAGGTTCGAAGTTTCCTGTACCAGTTGTAGCTTGTAGCCTCCAGTGTTACAGTTCTGCTTCTTGCTGGTTACTGTAACTTGTTGACTTATTGCTGGTTACTGTAACTAATTGATTGACCGCGCGAGGGGGGGGGGAGGCCCAAAGTGGCATTTTAGCGTCTCCTGGGCGCGTTGTCTGAATTGCTGGGGGGGCTCGAAATCAACACCACTCACGCAGATCCGCGGGGTCAGGGTCCAAAAACACAGGGGATTTGCCACATTTCTGAAATTCGGTGCCCCCCCTCACGCAGATCCGCGGGGTCAGGGTCCAAAAACACAGGGGATTTGCCACATTTTTGAAATTCGGTGCCACCCCTCACGCAGATCCGCGGGGTCAGAGTCCAAAAACACAGGGGATTTGCCACATTTCTGAAATTCGGTGCCACCCCTCACGCAGATCCGCGGGGTCAGGGTCAAAAAACACAAGGGATTTGCCACATTTCTGAAATTCGGTGCCACCCCTCACGCAGATCCGCGGGGTCAGGGTCCAAAAACATATGGGATTTGCCACATTTCTGAAATTCGGTGCCACCCCTCACGCAGATCCGCGGGGTCAGGGTCCAAAAACACAGGGGATTTGCCACATTTCTGAAATTCGGTGCCACCCCTCACGCAGATCCGCGGGGTCAGGGTCCAAAAACACAGGGGATTTGCCACATTTCTGAAATTCGGTGCCACCCCTCACGCAGATCCGCGGGGTCAGGGTCCAAAAACACAGGGATTTGCCACATTTCTGAAATTCGGTGCCACCCCTCACGCAGATCCGCGGGGTCAGGGTCCAAAAACACATGGGATTTGCCACATTTCTGAAATTCGGTGCCACCCCTCACGCAGACGCAGATCCGCGGGGGTCAGGGTCCAAAAACACAGGGGATGTGCCACATTTCTGAAATTTGGTGCCACCCTTCACGCACATCCATCGCAAGGCGTGGTAACCCAAATTGCGAGAACTCCCTCGGCCCTTTAATCGCAAGGTGTGGTAACCAAGCCCGTAAACCATACACGTCTTACCAATCGCCAGGTGTGGTAACCCCTCTTGTGATCAGTTGGTTTTGCTGATTGCGAATCGGCTTCGCATGAAGTTTCGATACTGCTTCACGACAGCGCCAAGCCAAGGCCTCATGACTTAGCTCTTCCATGGCCCATTCTCCGAGAGAGGGGGCCGGCGGCAGGGGGCGAAGCCCTTACGGATTACGAATGTGCCGCTCCTGCGGGTGTCTTATGGCCGCTGCTGGGCCTTCTTGGGGGCCTGTTGGGCCATCTTGGAGTGCCCATCGAGCCGTCTTGGACTCCTCTAGGCTGTCGTGGGGTCCCTTGGGGCTGTGTTGGGGCGATCTGGAGGCCCTCTTCTTTAAGCTGTCTGGAGCCCTTCCGGGGGCCCTCTTTGGCTGTCTTGGGATTTCTCGGGCCGTCTTGAATCTCTCTTGGGGCTCCCTTGAGCGCCTTTTGGGCTATCTTGGGGTGATACTGGGGGCCTCTTGGGGCGTCTTGGAGACTCTGAAGACCGAGACTGCAACACCGTGCAAGACCTTTGGGGGACATCCAAGTTTCGTGCCTCTTGACGGCCTCTCGGCTTTCTCTTCGGGTCCCTTGCTTGGGAACCTGTTGCTGTTTCCATATTGGAACCATCATGGGCCGTCGTTGGCCTGCCTTGGACATCTTTCAAATCCCTTCGGAACCTGTGGATCTGTTTCTTGCGCACCACAGCTTTGTTCCGCTAATGGGCATATTGACCTTGAAGGCAATGTTTGCTGACGGGCTGGCAGACCAGCAAGAATGGAGGAAGAAACAGCTGCATAAACGTAGACGTCGGAGCCCCGCGTGGATTTCGTGGATCGGCGCTGGCCCGCCCGTCTCTGGCGTGCGGAGCGTGCCAGAGGCGCTGCCAGGGGGGCCCAGCGCCGATCCAAGAAACCCGCACGGATCTCCAATGCGTTATGTTTATTCCCAGCCAACCTGTGTTGTTGGGTCCCCGTTTTGAAGAGACAGCGCCGCGCGTCCCTCCTCCACCTCATCCTCCTCCTCCTCCTCCTCCTCCTCCTCCTCCCGCTGCCCCCCCTCCCTCTCCCCATCATCAGCATCACCGTCACCATCATCATCGTCATCATCATCATCACCATCATCATCAGTTCGGCACACCCCTCACACAAGTTCGGCACACCCCTCACACGGCTCGTGGCCCCATGGGGAGCTCCACCGAAGGCCGCAGTGGCTGCGTCCGCATGCGTCACCGCCACCCATTACGGCACACCCCTCACACGGTTCGTGGCCCCATAGGGAGCTCCACCGAAGGCCCCAGTGGCTGCGTCCTCATGCGTCACCGCCACCCAATTCGGCACACCCTTCACACGCTTCGTGGCCCCATATGGAGCTCCACCGAAGGCTCCAGTGGCAGGGTCCGCATGCGTCACCGCCACCCATTACCGCACACCCCTCACACGGTTCGTGGCCCCATGGGGAGCTCCACCGAAGGCCCCAGTGGCTGCGTCCGCATGCGCCACCGCCACCCAGGACAACGTTTCGTTGCCCCATAGGGAGTTCCACCGAAGGCTCCAGTGGCAGGGTCCGCATGCGTCACCGCCACCCAGGACAGCGCGTCGTGGCCCCATAGGGAGCTCCACCGAAAGCTCCAGTGGCAGGGTCCGCATGCGTCACCGCCAACCAGGACAGCGTTTCGTGGCCCCATAGGGAGCTCCACCGAAGGCTCCAGTGGCAGGGTCCGCATGCGTCACCGCCACCCAGGACAGCGTCTCGTGGCCCCATAGGGAGCTCCACCGAAGGCTCCAGTGGCAAGGTCCGCATGCGTCACCGCCACCCATTACCGCACACCCCTCACACGGTTCGTGGCCCCATAGGGAGCTCCACCGAAGGCCCAGTGGCTGCGTCCGCATGCGTCACCGCCACCCATTACCGCACACCCCTCACACGCTTCGTGGCCCCATAGGGAGCTCCACCGAAGGCTCCAGTGGCAGGGTCCGCATGCGTCACCGCCACCCAGGACAGCGCTTCGTGGCCCCATAGGGAACTCCACCGAAGGCTCCAGTGACAGGCAGCGTTTCGTGGCCCCACAGGGGCTCCACCGAAAGCTCCAGTGGCAGGGTCCGCATGCGTCACCGCCAACCAGGACAGCGTTTCTCCACCGAAAGCTCCAGTGGCAGGGTCCGCATGCGTCACCGCCACCCAGGACAGCGTCTCGTGGCCCCATAGGGAGCTCCACCGAAGGCTCCAGTGGCAAGGTCCGCATGCGTCACCGCCACCCATTACCGCACACCCCTCACACGGTTCGTGGCACCATAGGGAGCTCCACCGAAGGCCCCAGTGGCTGCGTCCGCATGCGCCACCGCCACCCATTACCGCACACCCCTCACACGGTTCGTGGCCCCATAGGGAGCTCCACCGAAGGCTCCAGTGGCAGGGTCCGCATGCGTCACCGCCACCCAGGACAGCGCTTCGTGGCCCCATAGGGAGCTCCACCGAAGGCTCCATGGCAGGGTCCGCATGCGCCACCGCCACCCAGGACAGCGTTTCGTGGCCCCACAGGGAGCTCCACCGAAAGCTCCAGTGGCAGGGTCCGCATGCGTCACCGCCACCCACGGACAGCGTTTCGTGGCCCCATGGGGAGCTCCACCGAAGGCTCCAGTGGCAGGGTCCGCATGCGCCACCGCCACCCAGGACAGCGTTTCGTGGCCCCATAGGGAGCTCCACCGAAGGCTCCAGTGGCAGGGTCCGCGTGCGTCACCGCCACCCAGGACAGCGCTTCGTGGCCCCATAGGGAGCTCCACAGAAGGCTGCAGTGGCAGGGTCCGCATGCGTCACCGCCACCCAGGACAGCGTTTCGTGGCCCCATAGGGAGCTCCACCGAAGGCTCCAGTGGCAGGGTCCGCATGCGTCACCGCCACCCAGGACAGCGTTTCGTGGCCCCAGAGGGAGCTCCACCGAAGGCTCCAGTGGCAGGGTCCGAATGCGTCACCGCCACCCAGGACAGCGCTTCGTGGCCCCATAAGGGGGCTCCACCGAAGGCTCCAGTGGCAGGGTCCGAATGCGTCCGCGCCGCCGATTTCGGCGCACCCCTCTCGCGCTTCGTGGCCCCATAGGGAGCTCCACCGAAAGCGGTATCCACAATGCGGTACTCGCAGTTGCATTGGTTGGGTCCTTCGGCAGGCTAATGTTTTTTTTCCCTCCGCGGAAGAATGCACATGACCACCTGCGATGCTCAGCGCTTGTGGGAGACCGTCCCGCCGGCCGCCGCCTGCGAGCCGCAGAGCGCCTTGATTCTGCTTATGGAACTCTCGATGCTCTCTCGAAGCGCTTGGAGCTCTTTTGGCCTCATGGGGTCAGTAAGCTTTTCGAGCCTGCCCTCGATGGCACTCAGCTGGTCGCTCTGTGAGGTCATGCTGTCCCTGGTGGCGCTCTCGTAGCCCATTACGTTATCCACGAGAGACATGATCATTCCAAACATGCTCCCGACAGTGATGGCCGTCTTGACAATTAACGAGCCGGTGATAACAAGGCTGTCGCCTACAGCGATACCGAAGTCGGTTTCGTCCATCACCGCGTGGATGGCCGAAATCTGTGTGTGCAGCATGGGCTGCTGGCAACGGAAGTCATGGATACCCCGGCGCAAATCTTTGACTGCTGCCGAGATACGAAAAGGTGCAGTAGCGAAGGCCTGTGCGATGGCAACAGTGATCAAGCCGCTGGACGCAAACCTCAACAAATGCTTCCACACCTTCCACCCGCGGAAGCCATGAACGCCTACAAGAAGTTTTACTGTCCGGGTGTTCCCGTAGACCCAAAAGATCTGATGCGGCACTCCAGCTGCGATCAGCAGCAGTGGGGCACCAAACTGGGCAAGTGCAGGGCGGTTCTCTTCCAGGAAGGCTACCACTGGCTCGTGTATCCGCTCCCGGAATTTTTTTTCGCCAGCTGGCACGACGAGGTCTGCCATGCGCTTCTGCACCCCGTCGCTGATGCTCGCGAGTGCGCATGTGAGGCCGCAGGTGATGGACGACTCTAAGATGATTTTGAACATGGCTAAGAATTCCAGAATCCCGCGGTTTTCGAGCAAGCTGGTTCCAGTAACCACATCACCAGACCGTTCAACAACTTTCATAATCCGCCGACCCCTTGTGGGTCTCTAGGCGTGTGAAATAGATCCCCCCCCTCTAGTCCCCCCCTGGGACCCCCAAACCGGCGATTCGACCCCCCCCTGATGGCCCCCCCCCCCGGGCCCGGCACGAGCGACTCACGGGGCTTTTCCGGGCCCAAGAGGGCCCCAAGACGGGCCCAGAAGGCCCCAAGTGGCCTCCAAGACGGCCCACGAGGTCCCCGAGACGCCAATTGGGCGCTCGAAAACGCTCAAGATGGCCTCAAGTCGGGCCCCGAGGCCTCCAAGACGGCCCCGGAGGTCCCAAATAAGCTCCCCAAGAGGGCCCCGAGATGCTAAAACTGGTGATTTCCCATTATGTTTTACGGTGTTGTTTGCCTTTTCGCCTTTTCGGCTTCCCGACGCTCCAACACGGCCCCCGAGACCGCCCCGAAACGGTTCAAGAGGCCCCCAAGATGGCCCCAAGACGGCCCAAGATGGCCCCAAGACGGCCCTAGAGGCGCCGAAGACGCCCCAAGAGGGCCCCAAGACGGGCCCAAGAGGGGGCCAAGAGGGGGGAACAAAATGTCATTTCGAGGCTTCGGCCCCCAGGCGCCCCCAGGAAGCCCCAAGAGGTCCCCCAAGAGGCCCCCAAGAAGCCCCCAAGAGGCCCAAAAGAGGCACCCAAGAGGCCCAAAATAGCTCCCAAAGGGCCTCCAAAGTGTGGGCGGTACCATTTGAGGCACACGGACGACGTACCTCGCGTGGTACTTGGTCGGTACCACTTGAGGTCTCCGAGAGGCCGACCACGAGATCCCAAATAATATTCCACTGGCCTCAGACTCACAACCCCGGCACGGCAGCGGGATTCGCGGGACGCGCCTCGGGCCATTCGAGAAATATCCCTCTCAGGATCCACGACAAGATCCTCACTTGTCCTCGCCCCCCTCTTCCTCCTACCCCTTCTTTTCCTCCTCCTCCTCCTCCTCCTCCTCCTTCTCCTCCCCCGTCGTCTCCCTCTCCTGCTTTGTTCCTCCCCACTGTCCGCGGCATTCGCGCGCTGCCCGACGCGCTGCAGCGCCTTCGTGGAAGTCCCCCAGAGGCCCCGAAACGGCCCCCCGGTGGCTTCAAAACTGCACTCCTCGAGCCCCCGAGAGGCGTGCCGCGAGATCCCTATACACATACTTCAAGCCTCGAACTCATAACCCATGACCCAGCACCGTGTCTCCGTGTCCCCCTCCTCCTCCTCCCTTGCCTCCTCCTTCCCCATACACATACCACAAGCCTCTACCCCACATCCCATAACCCAGAGCCTGATCTCAGCGCCCCGCCCCTCCTCTTCCTCCTCCGCCACCTCCTCGTCGTCCCCCTCCTCCTCTTCCTGCCCCGGTTCACCTCATCCTCTTCGATGCTTCTCCCCCCCATTCTCCGCCTCACCCCCCATCCTTCTCTCCCCGTCCTCCTTTTTCTCCCCAGCACGCGCGCCCGATTGGGCATCCTGCGCATGTCTTGCACTTCAGAGTGTCCTTCTTTGCGTCGCGCGGGACATTGTGCGGGTCGGGGAACGCCGACTTCGGTAGTCTCCTCTTGCATGCGCTGGTGCACTGATACCCTTGGTAACTGCGCGCGTTGAACCCGAGTTCCTCGCAGCCTCTGCACACCACTTTGGTTCCTTTCGCCTTTCTATGATGTTCCACTTGCGTCGGCTTCAAGTGTTTCGTGTCTGAGAACGCTCCTCCGCGCGTCGCGCACGTCAGTGGCTTCGCGTCCGCCTCGGCCTTCCGTTTGCGATTCGCTGCCTCCGCATTCCCCCGTCGTACCTCTTTCTCTCGTTCTTCCGCGCATTTCCGACAGAGTCTTCCGCCCGCAGCATTGTGCCTCTGCTGAGCTTCGGACATCCCCGCCCCCTCTTGGAACTCCGACAGGCAGTCGCCGTTCGAACGCCGCAATGTGACCACGCGTTTTTTATTATCCGACGCGAGCGTCGCCCTCTGACGTTCTCCCGCACATTTCCGACACAACCTCTGGCCCGCTGCCTTCTGCTTCTTCTGAGATTCCGACATCTCCGCCTTGTCGTCATACAGCGACAGGCACTCATCGTTCGAACACCGCACTGTTCCAACACTCTCGTTCCACTTCGCGCTGCCAGTGCGCGAGTTCTGTTTCGCCTTGACATCCCTGCACTTTGCGCAGTACATTGTCCTAATCCTTTTCGTCTCCCCGTTTTCGGGCGCCGCGTCCGCGTTCCGACCGCTACCTTGCCGTGCCGCGTCGTCACCCTCTGCTCTCATTGCCCACCCTCTGCACGTTGTGCACCATTTTGCACCTGCGTTTTTCATCTCCTCCGTGCATTCTTTGCAGAACGCCGGTCTGTCCTTCCTCTGGAACTCGTACTTCGTGAACGCTTCTACCAACAACCTCCGCCGGCAGCGCTCGCACTGGTCTCGCGGCGTTAGTTCCGCCCCCCATTCATCCCGATCGAAGCTCTCCCCTCGCAGCACCTGCAGCAGTTTTTTCGCGCCCTCCATCTCACCTGCGTTGCGCGGTCTCCTGTCAAAAGGCCGGAAAATCAGAAGGTCCTGTCGCCTGCGCACGCGCGCGATGGCAACGTAACTGGACATACAACTCACGCTGCGCCCTCTTTCAAGGTCAGCTATCACAGCGGCCATGGTCTGGCCCTGCGCAGAGTGCGCCGTCACTGCGAAAGACGGGGTTATCATGAACTGCGTGCGCTTCACACTCAACATTGGATGTTTCCGATACCCGTCCAAGAACCATTGCCGCCTTTTCGATGGGAAGATCGGATACAGCCCTGGCCCCCACCCTGGCAGGTGCCACTCCTTCGTATGGAAGTTCAACACTATCACTCTCGGTAGATGCAACAACACTTCCTCGTCTCCATCCCCAGTAACCTCGTCCTCGTGCAACGCCCATCCATGGATCGTCGCTGCACGCCCCCGCAGGAGCTTCTTCTTTGATCGATCCAAGTGATCTCCCAAAGCCTCGGGCATCCCTTTGGCCAGTGGCAGCCACCCGGGCAGGCTTGCACACTCCTTCTCGTGGTACCCCAACCAACGTACCTTATCCTCCACCGTGTACGGCCGCCTCTGCCCCCCCTCATGGCAAGGGCGGCCCCTGGCTGCGACCCAGAGCAACTGTTCCCCTCGTTCTTTGGCCCACTGCACAGCTCTCTGCTTCCCGACGTGGCAACGAATGTCCTGGTTCGCATAAATGGCGACAGCTTCTACAAATTTCCCCTCCCGAAACCGCGCGTCTTCTGCCGACGTCGCGACGAGCTTCCTCTTGTCCCGCTCACTTTTGCAAGCCTCGCACTCTAACTCGTTGCGCATCGCAATTGCATCTCTGTCTTCGACACAACGCGCGCTCCCGCACGCCGGTGCCCCGTTCACCCACGACCCCGGAACATCCGTCGGTCTGCCATGCAAAAAATTGCGCGTGCGTTCAGACAACTTTCCTCGGCGAAACTCGTCCTGCACTCCAAGAAACCAGTCGTCCTGGTCTTCCACGCGCTTGCACTCCGTCAACTCCGTCATTCCCTGCACTGCACCATCGCCACCCGCTCCCCAAAAGATATACTGTCCGTGGTCCTCTGCGGCACCCGGCGCGCATTTCCTCGCTTTTTTCAAATACGACGTGGGAAGCGCATTAATGGCTGTCCCAGATGGCGGCTCCAATTGATAGAAATCCCCGCAGAACAGCACATTCACGCCCCCGAAGGGCCTGGTGACGCCGCATTCACCTACCTTCGTGTCGCTTGCAGCTGACATGCACGACCGCAAGTGTGAGTCTAGCTCTGCAATGAAGTTCGCGCTGGCCATGCTCACCTCGTCCACAATCAGCCACTTCCACTGTTGGGGATAGAACTCCCCAGGGGTGAACATGGTCACCCCCAGCATCTGTCTGGAGCCCGAAAGATCAGCTCGAGACAGGAACTTATTGTCATTCCTCCTCCTCCTCCTCCTCTTTCTCCTTCTCCTCCCCCTTCTCCTCCTCCTCCTTTGCGCTGCTGTATGTATAGCAGAATCTGAACGAGCGCGCTTGTAATATGAGTTATGTAGGCTACAATTGAAATCTCACGTTTGAATTATTGCGCAGTTTGAGATCTTGCGTTTGCATGTATTGCACAGTTTGCACGCGCGCAATGTTGCATAATATTCATTTCTCGCCGACTGCGGGGTGGCTTTTGAGTCAAGATCGTTTCGGAGGTTTTGGCTAACATAGCTAGGAGGAGGACGGGGAAGGGAGAAGGAAGGCGGAAGAGGAGTCAGGAGGAGGAGGGAGAGGCTTGCTATTCACGCAAAGCGCCGCTGCACCCTCCTGCTGATTATCTCTGCAGCCCTGCGGATGCGAGACACATCCCCGCTCTGATCATCTACATGCCAGGCGCGGCGGGCCAGCGCCACATACAGCATCGCGCATCCCACGACGCAGGGGTTGAATGCGCCCCCTGCTTGCCCCATGGTAGCGGCACGGCGGCGAGGGGGAAGCTTGTAGTCCTTTTGGCGCTGGAACCGCGCCCCCTCCACGCCGGGGGGGGCGCGCCCAATCCGCCAACCCCATTTGTCGGATTAGGCATGGTGTCCCAGTGTGGAGGCACGCGTTATTCCAGCGTCCTCTCGTCGTCTTGTAAATGAGCAGGTGCCCCCCCTTTTCCCTGAACTGCTGTTCCCTAGGCCCTAACCCAACCCATGCACAAAGAGAGCAAACGGGATTCCCCTCCCCTCCAAATTCTGACAAGTCGGGCGTCGCAGGAAAACCCATCGAAACGATCGCCTCCAACGGAGATAGCCAACGCTCGTGCTCCACACTGTAGAAGATTGTCGCTGATTTGACAAGCGTGATCCTGGACTTGGTGCCGTTGTGGTGCTGATGCTTATCTGGGAACTGTTCCAGCAAACGCATCCCTCTGCATCCCATCTCGATGTGCCGCTGGAGGTGGCGGTATTCCATCGCAGTCAGAGCACACTCAAAGTCGCTCAGCCCCGTGACCCTCCCTGCCCTGCTAGCACGACGACCTGCAGCCCAGTTCAATTCATCCGAAAGCTCTTCATCTGAGGCCCGAAAGAGAGCCTTCCAGTCGATGTGGCACTCACGGCGCATCAACTCCGAAAACGAAGTCCAAGACAACGAACTCATATGTTTGGGGATGTTGAGTCTGCGAACTCTCTTATGCACAAGAACAGTTATCCTGCGTACGCGTCCCATTGGAAAGCCGAAGTCGCCTACATTCAGAAGAGCTGTCTCGATATCGCACATGGTGAAAATCTGGCGAAGCATCCAAACAGGGAACAGCCGCGCGTTTTCATGTATGATGTAGTCCTCCTGGAGAAGGAGTCTGTGCGCGGCCCACGCCACGAATACGAGAAAGTCTCCCCGACCACGTGGATCATCTGACTTCCCCCGCTGCATAGACCACTCTGGACAAGGCGTTCCAGCAACCTGGCTGTGTTGTGTTATGCTGTATGGTACATATGTTACAGGTGTACTTACGCGTGCCAACGACTACAACCCTCTGACCCTGCCTACATTGGTCATATATATTTTTTGGGGGGTGGGGGGCTGGGCCCCCCTGAGACGACGTACATCGCTACCGATTAGACCCCTCGGACATGGATCCGCGAACGCGTGCAGGTGCACATCCTGCTGTGTATCAAGCACTTCGCCGCGTTCAGGACCAGGCCGCCCGATCGAGCAACTCGGAGGAGATCCTTTCGACGCATGCGAGCGCACGACTGCAGCAAGACATTGGACACCGACGAGTCGAAGAGCTTGGTGACATCTCCAAACAGACACTCTGGTGGATGTTCCAGCATCCGCAATTCGTTCTGGCTTTGCGGAAGCTTCTCGAATGCAAACGTCGCACGGGGAAATACACGCGGCCCCAGGAAACGTTCGACACATCGGTGTAAAAAAACTCATGGCCACTTCTGCCCCACCTATGCCCGAACAGCATGTGCTCAGAGATAGCTCATTGATGCTCGTACGCACATGGGCCCCCAGCTCGCTAATGGATAACGAAGGATCGCAGTGCAGCACACTAGCCAGACTGTCTTCAGCCCACTGGAAGGCATCGCCAAGAGAATGGACTGGCACCAGACGGGGTGATGGTGGCATAGCGCTGCTGCTCGAGCACAAACTGTATTGTTTGCTGTTGCGGCCTACGTTGCTGCTCTTGGCTGTATTTCTGTTGCGGCCCTTGTTGTTGTTGTTGTTGTTGTTGTTGTTGTCGCTGGCTGATGCGTTCAGCAATCTCCTCCCCCCTCCTGACTCGACCTCCCCGGGACTCGGCGGGGATCGTTCAACCTTGAGTTATCGGCCGTTTCTTGATCGTTGGATCGTTCAACGCGCCGATTCTGGGCCACCGAAGGCGTTCAACCTTAGCAGCCTTTAACGCCCGCCGCGGGGTCGCGCTACCTTTAACCTTGAACGACCGCTCGTAGGGGATCTGCCTTCAACCGGCCTGCTCTGTTTCTCTGTTGCTGGCGCAAGGGGGTTCCAGCGGCTCGCGCGACACGCGCAAGGCAAACGCTGGGGCGCTGGGCCCTAAAAACTCTCTGCGCAGGAGGATGAGGTCGCCCCTCCACACGCAGGCAGCTCTTCGTCTTCCGTCTTCCTTCCCCCTCCCTCTCCCCCTCCTCTTCTTCTTCCTTCCCCCCCTCCTCCGCCTGCTAGGCTGGCGGGCTGGCGGGCGGAGAAAAGATAGATAGAGACCACCCAGCCAACACCTGCAGCTCGTCTTGCTCGATGCCCTGGCACCTCACTTGAACACGTGCCTGCGCGCCTTCCAGATTGGGCTTGCCAGAGTCATCTTGTGCTTGCTCAGGCTCTTCTGGCATTTGACCTCCCCCGTGGCCTTGTTCATCTCAGAGACCTTCCCAGCGGTGACGTGGCCCTCAATCGGCGGGCGGCTGAGCTCCGCGTTCTCTTTGTTGAACAGGGACTCCTTCATGGTGAGGTAATTGAGATTGATGGGCACTGTCTCCACAATTTCCCTGGCCACTCGCGCGTGCCTGAAGGTGAAGGTTGTCTCGAATACCCTCACATCCATGGTGGTGACGGCGTTCTTGCCAGCATCAACGCGAATCATCCAAGCAGGAGTGAACGCTTCATTGTCAAAGCGGTTGAACCCGCTGCCGTCGATGTAGAAATATTGGCCCCACACCTGACACAGAGGGAGGGCGCCTTTAGTCGGCACCCTCGTCACGCGACCTATGAAAGGTAAAGCGATGCATGGGTCGGCTTTCTTGGCCATCAAGCGAATGGGATCATCGTGGCGCCTGCTAACGATGAACGATAAGCCTTGCTCCACTGCCACCCCGTCCTTAGTGCAGGACCCTGCAAGCGCGTGCCACAGATGCCCCTCCAAGCATTTCATGAAGGCCTCCACTGCTGCTGGTGCTGCGGATATCTCCCTGAACATGGTCCGAAACTCGCTCAGCTTCATCTCAGGATCGATGTCCTCCTCAGCCGCCCCCTCGCCCTTCGCGGCCTTCGCGCCCTCGGAGGAGGGGGGGGGGGGGGGGGGGGGGGGAGGAGGAGAAGAGGAGGAGGGGGGAGGGGGGAGGAGGAGGAAGGAGGAGGGGGGGAGGAGGGGGGAGGAGGAGGAGGAGGAGGGTGTCCTTGTTATCGTCATCGCCCTTGTCCTCGCCGCCCACCTCGACGCCCCCGTTCCCGGGCATGGACTCGCTGCCAGCAGCGCCAGCAGGAGCAGGCTCCGCCGCGGCAGCAGCTGCACCAATTTCTTGTGATTCTTTTTTGCAAAATGCTGTTGGCGATGTCCTCGATGTCGTTCACCATGTTCTCGGCATTCGCCATGGCAGGGTCAAGAATCTTCCCCCAGAACACTGGCCAAGTCGTACCGATGTCCATCGTCATGTCGCACTCACCGATTTTCTGTAGGCGGGGCTCCAACGCTGCAACTGGAACATCCCTCATAGCCTGCCAGCGACTCTTGACTGCGGTGACGGCCTCCATCATGTACTCGGCACGGATGTGTTGTAGTTTGCCCACTGTGTTGATATCATTGAAGATGCCCATGGATGCATCTTCTATGGAGCTGGCCTCCTGCACGCTCACGAGCTGCGACAGCACCGCGAATTCGATGTAGGAGTTCGGCGCGCACTTAGATATCATCTGCTGCAGTTCAGCCACGCACGATGACAATGTCGGGATAGTTGAAGAGTCCTTTTCGAATGCATCGCGAATGAGATCCTGGAAACCTGAATGGCAACGGGTCGGCGTGGTCAAATCATTGTTCTGGAGGAACGACATCAGGCCCATGACCAGGTCGCGATCCGAAAGGAGCAGCGCAGAGCTAGCAGCCTCGGGCGTCTTGGGGCCCGCGCTTGGCGCGAGGGCAACCTCTGCCTTCTTATCCGAGTCCTCCTTCTCCGCGAGCTTCTTCATCGCCTGCCAGCGTGCTATCGTCGACGGGGCTTGTCTTGTAGAGGTGAGTGTGTGCCTTGATGATGTTCTTACGCAGCTGAACCGGGAGCTTGCTCCACGCCGTGAACTCGGCGTCTTCCCACGTAGCCGAACCGGCCCACAAGAACCGCAATGCCAAGTGCAAATTGCGACTTATCTCGCCCCAGAGTACGCGGTCGGCCCTCAGATTTTTGATGGGCCCCCAACAAATAGCCAGAAGGTCGTCGATGAAGTATTTGTCTCTGGTAATGATGCTTGTCTCGCCATTTGCCGTCTGCATCGACACAGAGATGGAGAGCGAAGACGACGACTCATCACTGTCACTGGCGTCTCCTCCGCGCCCCTTGCGGCCGCGACCGCGGCCGCGGCCGACCTCGAGGTCAGTCGGAACTGGCGCTTCCACTGCTGAATCCTCGGGCACTGGCACAAGACACGCACGACTGGAGTCCTGGTCCGTTGCTTTCCTTTTCTTCGTCGTCGCCTTCTTCTTTGCGGCCGAGTCGTGGACAATGCTGCCGCCCATGGGCGCTTTCATCCAATTGAGTTTGTTCACCATGTTTCTGTCGATGAATACCCGCGGAACCGAGAGGTCAACGTTGGCGTCATCCGCGCTCAGATTCTCAGGGTCCAACAACAGAGGGACGTTGAATTTCACTGCCTCGCGAACCAACTTCGCAAAAAGCTCCGCCGAAGGACAGGCCGCCTCAAAGTCCGAAGTCAGCATGGTAATCATGTCGTAATTCGTCTCGATGATGCCGATGTTGTTCACGCGCATGTCAACGAAGTTCATGGAAGTTTCCAGCGGCTTCTTGTGGTCGTCGTAGATCCCAAGCCGCTCCATCTCAGACTGGAACGTAGAGCAGCGCCCGAACTGCGACCACTTGAAAGTGAAGAAGTAATCCGAATGGTGCTTGAACACGTACTTCTCGTACTGCTTGTCGTAACGGTGTTCTCCTTTCGGTGGTCACGAGTTCTTTGTGATGCCATGCTTGTCGCGAAAGGCTGCCCATGCTGGAGTAACCAACGCGGCTTCGTCGTACAATTCAATGACTGTCGTATCAGAGCCGTCGTGGTATTGATTCGCCTGCACCCTGACCCATTTCAAACCGTCCATTGGAACCCCATACATGAATTCGACAGTGTCGGGTATCCCGTTCTCCATGACCCACTTCACGTGCACGTTGGTAGGAGCCACTTGCTTTGCCAGGATGATGGCGTCCACGAGCGTACCGTCCCCAACCATCAGAGATGATCCGCCCGTAGGAGACTCTGCGATGTGCCACATCTTCCCACGGAACAGTGTGAACAGGCCTTTCTTCAGAAAGTTACGCATGTACCTCACAGTCACAGACTTTCGGGCCCTCATGTTGCACTCGTGCCGCCTGACGCGTAGATTGCCTTCTGAATCCCACAACTTGAGCGTGCAGTCTTTGTTCTTCACCCATGTCTTCATGATGTAGTCCATCCTGGCGGCGCCTTCAATTCCGTCCATGCGGATGTCGAATGTCTCGCATGCGTCCCAGGGGCCCACGGTAGGTGCCTTCGGAATCGGAACATCATCTGAGTGCGCCACAATCGACGCCATCTCTGGAAAGCAGCACGTAGAAAGAGCAGGCACGCTGCCAAGTCAAAACTGAAGCAAGTATAAGCACACCTTACACGTTGAGCCAAAATGAGCTATTGCGGCGCGGTGGTGGCGGGGAGTCGGTGGAGGCGGTGGACGGAGGTTGCTCCCAACAGGCCCCCAAGAGGGCCCCAAGAGGGCCCCAAGAGGGCACCCAACGGATGCTACAAAGGGGGGGGTGCGTTGTAGCATCCGTTGGGGGCCCTCTTGGGACCCCTCGGAGCCCCCTTGAGGCCCCTCTGAACGCCCCGGGAAGCCCCAAGAGGGCCCTAATAGGGCCCCCAACAGGCCCCCAAGAGGGCCCCAAGAGGGCACCCAACGGATGCTACAAAGGGGGGGGGTGCGTTGTAGCACCCGTTGGGGTCCCTCTTGGGACCCTCTTGGGACCCCTCGGAGCCCCCTTGAGGCCCCTCAGAACGCCCCGGGAAGCCCCAAGAGACCCCCAACATGCCCCCAAGAGGGCCCCAAGAGGGCACCCAACGGATGCTACAAAAGGGGGTGCGTTGTAGCACCCGTTGAGGGCCCTCTTGGGGTCCTCTTGGGACCCCTCGGAGCCCCCCTGAGGCCCCTCAGACCGCCTCGGGAAGCCCCCAGAGGGCCCCAAGAGAGCTCCAAGAGGGCCGCAAGAGGGCCCCAAGAGGGCCCCCAACGGATGCTACAACGCAGCCCCCATTTGTAGCATCCGTTGGGTGCCATCCTGGGGCCCTCTTGGAGCCTTCCTGGAACCCTCGTGGGGTCCTCTTGAAGCCCCCGGTCCCGAGCTGCTCCTGAGAGATCCTGGGGGTCCCGAGCTGCTCCTGACAAGTCCTGGGGGTCCCGAGCTGCTCCTGACAGGTCCTGGGGGTCACGAGCTGCTCCTGACAGGTCCTGGGGGTCCCGAGCTGCTCCTGACAGGTCCTGGGGGTCCCGAGCTGTTCCTGACAGGTCCTGGGGGTCCCGAGCTGCTCCTGACAGGTCCTGGGGGTCCCGAGCTGCTCCTGACAGGTCCTGGGGGTCCCGAGCTGCTCCTGACAGGTCCTGGGGGTCCCGAGCTGCTCCTGACAGGTCCTGGGGGTCCCGAGCTGCTCCTGACAGGTCCTGGTGGTTCCTGGCGTTTCTGTCGCAGGTCCTGAGTTGTTGCGGTCGGATCCTAGGAGTCTCGGGACGCCCTGACCGCTGTCCACAGCGTTGAATGGCGCTCGCAGAAGAGGCTTGGAAGAGTCCAATCCCGCATTGGCAGCAGCCCCTCTCTCTTGTTATATCTCCTCGCAGTGCGAAGCACACAACGACCGCATCTGCATTTCGCATCGTATGTCTGTGCTGCACATTGTTTAGCATGTGGCGTTGCTCTTCCTTCTTCTCCTCCTCCTCCTCCTCCTCCTCCTCCTCCTCCTCCTCCTCCTCCTCCTCCTCCTCCTCCTCCTCCTCCTCCTCCTCCTACTCCTTCTCTGCCAGTTTGCTAAGCACATTTTTCCGTGTGGTCTGAGGGTTTTGGGGGCCAGAAACGGGCGTCACTTTTTTCGTAAATGTTGACGCCCGTTGTTTTCCGTTTTTGGGCTACTCCTTCTCTGCCAGTTTGCTAAGCACATATTTCCGTGTGGTCTGAGGGTTTGGGGGCCAACAACGGGCGTCACTTTTTCCGTAAATTTTGACGCCCGTTTTTTTCCGTTTTGGGCTTGCTCGCACACGCGCACCCCATTGCGCGTGTTGCGCTTGCTCTCAATCTGGCCGAGCTCAAGCTCCGCCCCCCACGTTCCTGCGGCAAGCATGCCACGCATCCAAGCAGTGAAACCGCGAATTCGAAACGGGGAGATGAGAGGAGGGATGGGTCCTGGTGGGTGGCCGGGAAGAAACGACGAGTCGCACAGCTCCTGCGTGAAAACTCGGGATGCTCTCGGGGGTTTGCTTGAGGAGGCGGACGAGGAGGACAACGACGAAGACTGAGCCTCAAGCGCGGAGGCGCGGGCGTGGGCCTCGTGGGCTCACGGGCCTGAAGCCGCGTGCCGCGACGCACATTGACAGCAACACTGACACGCCCTTGGCGCCGCGTGCTGCGGCAAAAGCTGACAGCAACACTGACGCGCCCTCCCTTCGACATTCCTCTGCATCCTCATCAATCCCCCTCCCCCCCCTACGCGCCATCATACTGTCATTTTCCAGGCCGAAGCTCAAAAGATGAACCAATGATGGGGGCCGTGCCCCCCCCCCCCTCCACCACCACCACCACCACCATCACAACCACCACCAGCACCACCACCACCACCAGCACCACCACCAGAACCACCACCAGCACCACCACCACCACCACCACCACCACCACCACCACAACCACGCACACACGCACGCACGCACGCACGCGCACCACCACCCACTACGCACGCGCGCGCGGAGCCACAGGTCCGCTACGACACGCGTCCGCGGATAGAGAAAATCAGCGCCATGGTAAGGGATGGGAGGGAGGGGTAGGACGTCAGATATGACGCGAGCGCACCTAGCTTGCCCTCCTCTCTCTCCTCCTCCCCCTCCTCCTCCATCCATCCCCATCCGTGGCAAGTGACGTATCAGTTGCAACCTTGGCTCGTGATGCATTAGTGTTTCACTTCCGCCTCCTGCTGCTCATCCTTTTTTTGACCCGCGGGAGCGGGAAAATGAACGTCAATATTTTAAAACATATTGACGCTCCAAGTTGTCCTACTCCCCCCCCCCTCCAGTTGCTCATCCCCCCCCATCCGTGGCGATGTTGGCTTGAATCTTGCCGTCAGTTTCAGGCTGTCTCAGGCGACCGCAGGACCATCACCGAAAGCTGCATTACAGAATGCGCACACGTGCTCTGTGCCAAGCAACTGCCGAATGCACCCTGGGATTGACGCCGACCCGCGAGGGAGGTCTGCTGGCAGGCCGAGTGCTACAACAGGCGGCACGATGGCGTCGCAACATGTTCGGTAATACGATTGCAAGCAAAAGCAGCACTTGCGAACGCCCTCATCCGCACTATCACAAATCTGGCAAGGAAATAGTGATGCACTCCCTTCTGTCGGAGCGCGCGCCGCCAGAGTTGCCATGCGGTACAAGTGCAGCACAGTGACCGGGAGCTCGGGCCTGCCGATTGTCTTGTCAACTTCCCTTCTCCGATGCAGTCAAGAGTTGAGAGACACAGGAGGCGCTGAATGCATGAGCCAGTGGAACTCAAGAGGCAAGCACATAATGGTATGGTCACCGCAGGGGCTACCACTACAATTATGGGACTTAGATTGTCGTAATGTTACCGACCAGATAATCGGAGTACTCCCCAGCCCACACTCTGCCCCTCCTTTCTCATAGCGATGCCGCACGCAGGGTGGATGATCAATGCGTGCGAGTAGTCCCTCCATGGCTGTGCATATTTCCCTATGAGCATGGAGTAGATGAGACAGTTGCTATCATCAACTCTGACTCGTTGGCCACGCCTCTGGGAGGGATTCTGCCAGTTGACGAACTCTTTTGATTGAGTGGTGTTGTCATCCCAGACAATTTCCACCAAAGATACTTGATTGCCGCGGCCAACCTCCATGTCTCGCTCTGCAACATGCCTTTCCCGAAGAGCTGATGCTGCCAAACTGGCCCGATCGAGCCAGTCTTCATGCACAGCTATCGCGGCGCCGTCCTCTGCGCTCTCTGCGAGCACCGCGTCAGCCGTTGCCGGGCCGCCCTCGTCGTTGTCGACGCCGTCGCCATTAGGATCAACGTGGGGAACAGAACCGCCCCCGCCCCCACTGCTGTCACCGTCACCACTGGGTTGCGGCTCCCACAGATGATGCGCGATCCCCGCATCTCGAATATCGTATATGTCTGTTCCAAATGTACCAGGCGCACCCTGATATACCTTCCGAAATTTTAGATCAGCCAAGGCTGCCGCTCCCAACTGGATGTCTTTTGCATCGGCCTCAGAGAGGGAGTCGATCTCATCCGACGTAAGAACAATTGTAGCGTCATTGACGTCGTCATCGTACCCCTCGATATCACCCATCACAGCTGCCAGCTCAACCCCCAGGTCTCCTAAACCGTCGTCATCGCCGCCAAGGCCCAGCTCCGCCTGAGAGGGATCGTATGGGGAGCCAGCGAGGGCCTAGATTTACCCAAGATGCACCTTTTGTTATTAGTCTACGACACGCTGCGCCCAACTTCTAGGAGGCCTCAGAAGAGGGAGGAGGAGGAAACGAATCGCCCGCCCATCAGAATTTCATCACCCCCCACCCCTTCCTGCCTGTGCAGCTTCGATTGGAAGAGCTACTGAGTTGGGCTTCGGCTTCGGCGGCTGCTTCGGGTGTGACTTACGAGGTGTCGGAGGGGAGTCGTCCAAACTGGGGTAGGGCTTGGGAGGGTTAGAAACAGGATCTCCCAGCGGCGCGAAGTTCCCCGCCCCGTCGTCTACGACCACGTCTGCCCACTCAAGCTTAAACACTGACAGCTGCACTCTTGTTCCCCTCATGCACATGGGGTAGCACTTGGCGAACAAATGCAACGACGAGATCGTATCGGGCGACGCGCCGCGCACCGCAAAGGATTCCCCGGTGGTGTCCAGAATGCATTTGGCAAGAGTCCCAGACCGATTATGCACGTTTGTCAGTATCCAACACGTAGAAGAGAAGTCACCATCTGATGTCAGCTTGAGCACGTGAGCGCTAGCCATGCTGTGCATGTCCTTGCAAGCCCTCAACGCACTGAACCATTTGCGATTGAATCGAGCAGCCCAAAGTAGCGCAGGAGTCGCCTTCGACGGATCTATGGGCTTACCACATGTTGCATCAACGACTGGCATGGCATCCTGGGTCGTGGGCGGGCGGAAACGCATGGGATATTGTAGAACCTCTGGTATATCATGAAAATGATCGATTGCATCCTCAATTACTGCTTCAACATGCTCCGATATCTCTGACCACTTCCGCACCAGGCCCCGTATCCCCATCCCTGCTTTCTTTCTGATGGCGAGCCTAGCATCCAAA